GGCGACGCTGGCCGGAGCGAAGATGAAGGCCGTGCCGGGATCGGCGCGCGACACGGCGGTCTCGCGCACGCGTTCGAACGCGGCGCGGTCGCGGCAGTAGGCCCGCCACTCGGTCACCCCCAGGTGCTCCACCCCTGCGCCCCACCTGTGCACCGCCACCCCACGCCACTACCAAAATAATAAATAATAAATAATAAATCAATAAACCAATAAACCAATAAACCATAAATTTTGGATTAGAATAATGTAGTAATAATGGCAGCAAATCATTAATAATAATTCAATTAACATCAACGTACGACGGCTTGGTCGTGGGTGAGACGCAACCAGGCGCGGGAGACGAGGGAGGCCTCATTCAGCTCGCGAGCATCCAGGTAGTTGAAGATGCGAAGAGAAACCTCGTCGGGCAGCTGGTGATCCACCCACGCGGCCATCTTTGTGAACTTGTGCTTGCGCTCCAAATGAAAATTGAACTGAAAAATATAAAAGAAAAGTAAACAATAAAAATACAAGCCAAAAAGATAAAAGCCAATCGGCAACAAAGGAAAAGGAGGCCGAAGATGACGTACCTCATGCTGTCGGGGTGCGCCCTGATCGCTTTCGGTCCAGCCCTCGCCCTGTTCTGGATGTTCATCGCCCCGAGCGCGCAGCTTGTCGTGCTCATGGTCGGCAGGTTGCCCTCGCCCCCTCAAACAATCCGATTTATTTATTTATTTATATTTAATTATTCATTAATTATTATTTTTGATGCACTTGCTTGCATGTGAAATATAAAAATATGATTACAAATAATTATGATGATAATGAAATTGTTTATTAATTTATAAATGGAACATGCAGTTCGTTCTTCTGGCTGCTGTCGATACTGTTGACCTCGATCCTGTGGTACGTCTTGGTGCCGCTGCGGACCCACTACTGGTTCATCGTGCCCTTCGCCGTCCTCCTCCAGGAGGCCATGCGCTGGGCCTTCTACAAGCTCTACGCGTACCAGCACCTTCTCGCCGCGTGTCGTGTGTCATGCTGCGTCTCGTTGTGTGCGGTGGTGTGCATGGCCATACCTTGGTTGATGCGACGCTCAACTTCTCTTCTCGTTGGCCTCTGGTGCAGTAAGGCGCAGAAGGCCTTCACAGGCGGTTCGTCGCCGAACGTTGCCGTGCCCCACGCGCTCGACTACTTCTCAGCTTCCCTCGGTATCGCCTCTCACTCACATGTGCGTGCGTGTGCGGTCTGCGCGAGCGTGTGCGGTCTGTGCGTGTGTGTGCTGACGATCGCCGAATGTCAGCGATCGGACTGGGCTTTGGCTTCACCCACGGCGTGGTCATGTACGGCAGCGTGCTCGCCAGCGCCAACGGACCGGGCTCCCTCTACGCCCCGGCCTGCCCCTCCGTCTCGCTTTTCCTTCTCTCCGGTACTTCCTCCCCCGTCGCCTTGCCCCATGACCATTACTTACATCGCGTGTCGTGTCGTGTCGTGTCGTGTCGTGTCGTGTCGTGCGTGTCATGTGCGGTGTTTCCAGCGGTGTTTGCTCTGGCGTTCATCACGATGCACGTGCTGCTGTCGGTGCTCTCGTTCGACGCCTACAAGGTGACCGAGTGGCGGCCGTTCCTCATCAAGACGGGCGTGATGGCCGGCGGCCACTTCGTCATCTCCCTCCTGGTACTCACCACGCACTCGTCGCCGTCAGGCGGCGTTGCCCCGTCAGTGTCTCACATTCTTGGCATTGTTTTGGGCGGGTGCTGCAGACGCTGCTGAACCAGGAGGGCGGCAGCTGCGTGGCGTCGGCCGTGCTGGTCTACCTGGCCCTGGCCGTGCTCGCCCTCTTCACGGCGCGCGTGGCCTTCACCTCGCCGCACCTGCTGCGGAAGTACTCGCCTCTCGCCCAGTAAGTAGTACACGTCAGCATCCAACCTCTTCCCCTCCTTTGTTATTATTATCATTCACCACTACTAGCTCGTTGGGCGAAGAGATAACATGTTGTAAGTAGCGACAATCGAACCTTTGTGTTGTGTCGTGTGTGTCGTGTCGTGTTGTGAATGTGTTGTATATTTACAAATCGAAGAGTCAGCCAGTCTTTGCTCAGAGCTGGGCGTAGATGGCCAGCTGCTGAAACACGAGCGATATGTTGGCCTCCGTCAACTGCATCACACCACACAAACCACACGTCAGTCTCTGCGCGTCGTGTGTGTCGTGCGCGGGTTGCTGCGGGAGGTGAGGAAGGCGCACCTTGAGCTTGCCGCTGCTGTTCACGTGGGCGACAGGCGTGGAGATCCGATAGAGAAGGAAGGCCGAGAGTGATATGCGGAAGTGGTAGAAAAAGTGTTCCTCCAGCGCTCGCAGCAGCCCTGGCCGCACCTCCGCCAGCTCTACACGCAAGAGTGAATATATACAGAAGGCGATCAGCAACAAGTGGGTGCCTGAACGAGAGCAGCGTGGACAAAGGAAAACACACTGTCGTCTTCTTCTTTGTACAGATTGTGGTTTTGTTCAGTCATCCTGCACACACGAAATATACGACGACACGCAACACGCGCGACACGCGACACACAACGCAGGTCGGTCAGTCAGTCGGCCACAACTATTTCACGCATGTGTGGTGTTGGATTCGTCGAGGCGAGGTCGTACTCGGCGGCCAAGCGGCGCATGTCCTCCTGTGGGATGGTGAGTCTGATGGTGTTGAGCTCGGGGATGTACTCGGGTGCCTTGTAGACGAGCTCCAGCACCTCGGCCGCCCCTGCTAGACCTTTGGGGGGGCAACAACGTGAGGCACAACACACACACGACACACACGACACCACACACACACACACACACAACGGTGTGGACAACTTTGGATTACCAGAGGCCGAGCGTTTAGGCGGAGCATCGCTCGATCCCCATAGCGCGGCCATGCGCGCTAGAGTGTAGGGCGAGAAGGAGAGCTGGCTCACCCGCGAGTCGAACTGTTGGGTTTGCGAACACAGGGAGAGACCAGAGGTGAGCCGTGTGTGTTGTGTGTTGTGTGTGGTGTGAATCGCACGGTGATCGTACCTGTCCGTAGAGCCAAGCGCTGAACGAGTCTGTGGTGGTCTTGTTGCCTCGCAGCAGGAACACCGGATAGGCCGGGTGCTCGCCTGGCACGCGTCGGCCCAAAAGTATATATATTATTCGTAAAACAGAGAATGGAAAAGACTACTACACAGCCACGACTTACCTCGGCCCTGCGCTCCCTCCGGGGCCGTGCCCGGTCGGGCAATAGAGAGAATCGCTTGGAAAAGCGGACTCTCCGCGCGCTTGCCTGTCACAACATTGGCCACACGGCGCACACGGCACACAGCACACGGCACACGACACACACAGCATACGGCACACACGACACGGCAATGATCGGTGAACAGGCGCTCTTCTGTGCGAAGTGCTGGGCGGCGTGGTGGTACCCGCGACAGACTTGAGCCCGACCACGAAGGCAAAGACCCGTCCGTGCTCTGCAGCCGCACGTCACGCCACGTCAGCAAGCGAACAAAGGCCCTCAGCCACCAAGAGAGAGAGAGAGGTGGTGCGTACGTTCGGCGAGGCCGGGCAGGCGGTAGGCGGCGGCGAGGAAGCGCCAGCGCTGGCCCACCGCCTCCTGGCAGTCGGCAGTCATGTGTCGGCGCAGGCTCGCGGCGTAGTCCGCCAGGCGCTCCTCCTTGAAGGCGTGTAGCGGCGATGCCCGATATGTCAACCAGGTCTTCCCGGCCACGTCTGCTCACGCGCAGCCCCCCCCCCGAGTTAAATTGGGCGATTGCGATTATCGATTTTCGTTTTTTGTGGTTCCATCGGGCCACAAGATAGTACCCTTTGCCGTTTGCAATTCCTGGGCCGAGTGTGGCACCAAGGCATCTTCGCGATCGTCTTGAATGTCCCTTCGATGTTTCCTCTTCATCGATCGATTGACAAAATGGCGCCAAACCGATAAAAGAAATAAACGGTCAATAAAAAAATGAAAAAAAAATACTTAATAAACTCGAATCGATCGACAAGAATAGACGTCCAGCCCGAAGCCTTCTTCGTCCAAAGGGGAATGCAGCAACCGACGTCGTGGCAAAGCGCCGGCGACGGATCATCTCCCGCGAGTCCGACGACCCACAAGAAGCTCTCCGCCTCTGCCGTACCGTTCCCTCGCCCCCCCCCCGCCGGAGGTAAAACACTCACTCAACCCCCCCCCTCTCTTTCTGCCCTATCTTTTGTTCCTCCGCCGGCCTTGAAGTCGGTTCGGTCGGTGCGGGTGCGGTGTATCGGCGCTGTGGGTCTCCCGTCGGGTCCCGGGTGGTTCCTCCGCCTTCGCTCTTTGTCGCGATGGCTCACCACGGCCACCGCTCATTTCGTACTACTTCCCCCCTCCCCCCGCTCCGCCCACCTTCGCTTCGTTCTTTTGTGTTCTACCTCCGCTTCCTCTTTGGGGTTGCCGCCACCTTCGTTCTTTTTGGCTCGGCCTGAGTTTGTTTCAGTTCCCCCACCTGATTGCTGTGTGTCGTGTCGTGCGGTTCCGTGTGTCATGCGTGTCGTGTGGTGTTGATGCAAAAAGTCGGGCGAGCCCGTGTGGAACGAAAGCTTCAGCATCGACGTGCTCCGGCACATGGAACTCGAGCTCTGGGTAACCCACCCACACAGCCACCCATTTTGCAGCCACGGTGCATTCATTCATCGCACGACACGACACGACACGACACGACACGACACGACACGACACGACACGACACGACACGACACGACACGCAGGAACACAATCCGGCGGACGGAGACAAGCTCGCGGGCAAGAAGACGGTCAACCTCACGCTGGACGTCTTTCCCGAGGTGGACCCGCCGATGGGCGTCGAGACGGTCAAGACCTTCGCCATCCCCGGCGCCGGCCGCGTGGAGCTCGGCTTCACCCTCCTGCCCCCCGGCTCCTCCGAATCCGAGCCGTCCACATCGTCGGAGGTGCGCTCCTCGTGCCGCGTGTGCGACACTCTGTGTTCGATTCGCTCACCGCACACGCACACGCACCACCGCACACGCACACAGCCGCCGAAGTTGACGAGCAATGACAAGCGACGGTCGATTATTGGCGAGCGGCGTACGGTGAATCGTGCGCTCGATCAGTTCAGCGAGGAGGAGGCATCCAGCGTACGCCCAATCCTAATTAATAAGAATCGCAACACAGGGCTCAGCTCTTCTCTTGAACGGCGCAGAGCGTGGAGCAACTGCGCCAGGTCAACGAGGCGCTCATCGCCATGGGCAAGCCGCCGCTCACCAAGCAGGAGGCCGCACTCATTCTCGGTACCACACACGCTCTCCAACCTGCTTAGCAGCGGCTCCGTACCGACTGATCGTTGCACCTGGGCGGTGGCGGTCGGCAGCCGGTGAGAAGAAGAGGCGCGAGACGCTGGTCCTGCCCAAGGGCGTAGGCGCGGCCATCAATAGCGCGGCACAGAGCTCTCCCAACGGCCAGGTGAGTCGCACGCGCACACGCCACCGCACACGCACGCGCGCAGATGACCGACGTGGTACACGCGCGCAGCAGGAAACAAAGTGGATGGCCAAGCGAACCAGTATCGCGCCCAGGAGCAGGGATTCGAGCGCGGCCATCTACTCCCAGTTCAAGCAGCAGATCTACCTCAAGGTACTCACCCACTTACCGCACTCACGCCTCTGACGCGCCTAACACGACACGACACGACACGACCAACGACACGACACGACACACGCACTCGACCGCACACGCGCGTGTTGGTGCGATACAGGACAAGGAGGTGGCGGACAAGGCCAAGCAGGTCGATGCGCTGGAGCAGGAGGTACTCGCTGCCAAGCAGGAGGTGGCCCACCAGAAGACCCTCGTCGCCGCCCTCGAAGAGAAAGCCAGGCACCCCACCGCCACCTTAACCCTCTCTTGCTGACGTCATCAGCCACCCAACCCCTTCTCTTGCTGACGTCATGTGCGGTGCGGTGTGGTGCGTCGCTGGTCGCGTGTGTGCGTCGCAGTGGTCTGTCGAATCAGCTGAAGACCAAGTCGATGCAGTTCCTGGTGGTGTTCGAGAAGGTCAAGGAGGAGAAGGACGCGCTGGTGGCGGCCAACGCGCGCCTGCGGGAGGAGATGGCGGACCGGGAGCGCGAGCACCGCGAGGCTCTGGCGCGGCTCGCCCACGACCTCGACGAGAAGGTCCGCCTGGCGCGCGAGGAGGGCAGCCTCTCCACCACCCTCGCCTACTCCATCAGTACGCACACACCGCACACGCGCGTAACCGCACACGCGCACCGCACACGCTGAACGCACGCGCGCGCAGAGCTGGAGAACGAGAAGGCGAACCACGGGCGCGAGCTGGCGCGGGTCAAGTCGGATCTGGAGTTCGAGACCGAGCAGATCCGGAAGAAGGCCGAGGCCGAGAAGCAGGGCCTCGTCCTCCAGTACGAGGGCCTCCTTCAGAAAGGTCCCTCTCTCGCTCTCCTCCCCTCACCCCATGCTTAATTGGCTGACACGCGCGCGTGTGCGGTCGTGCGTGTGTCGTGTATCGCGCGTGTGCGGTGTGCGGTGTGTGCGGAATTAGAACGGGCGCGTGCGGCGGAGGAGCTGCGCAAGAAGAAGGAGAAGTCCAGAGAGAAGGTACTCCACCATCACACCGCTTTCCGCGAGTTTGGCTCACCGCACACACGACACGACACGACACGAACAACGACACGCACAGAAACAAAGGCTGCGGGAGGAGCGATTGCAGAAGGAGGGGGTGACGCAGGAGATGAAGCGGATGGAGGAGAAGATCCAGGGCGACAAGCGCAAGTGGGAGGAGGAGCGGGAGCACGTCCGCGCGGAGCAGGCCGAGCGCGAGAGCCGGCTTGAGCGCG